TCTCCGGACTTTTCCAGGTCTCAGGCCTGTCCAAATGGCTGGGGAGCAAGCTGGCCCCTTTGCAGACCATTCCCCACCCGGCCATCGCCTTCCTGCTCTCCCTCCTGGTGGCTGTCTTCACCGAGTGCACCAGCAACGTGGCCACCACCACCCTCTTTCTGCCCATCCTGGCTTCCATGGTAAGCAGAACAGGAGCTGCTGCCCCCCACCGGGGGAAGACCCAGCCCCTCTGTCTCTCGGCGCAGCCTTCCCCAGCTTTTTATGGAGGGGCTCAGGGAGCTGCCCCAAAGAGGGCCATGGACCTGCAGGCCCTGGATTGCCCTCTCAGCCTGCTGGGAGGGAGGCCCCCGGACCAGGCTGGCAGCCGCTGCCCCTCTCCCTGCCCCTTGGTCAGGCTCTCTCTGCCCTCGCAGGCCCAGGCCATTGAACTCAACCCGCTGTACGTGATGCTGCCCTGCACGCTCGCGGCCTCGCTGGCCTTCATGCTGCCGGTGGCCACCCCACCCAACGCCATCGTCTTCTCCTACGGCCATCTCCGGGTCATCGACATGGTGAGCCCCACCCCCTGGCGGTGAAGCTGGGGGCCTCCTCTCGCCCGGCAGGGGCAGAACCCTCAGCGTGGCCCAACTGGCCAGCCTTGAAAATCACAGGCCTCCCCTGTGGATTTCCCACTACTGGCCCATGGCTGGCAATACCATGGAGCCTCCAGCAATAGGCAGCTTCCCCTAAACATAAGATGCTGAGGAGCCACCGCAGGCGAGAGCTGCCACCTCTCCGTCCTGCCTGTGGGCAGGGCAGGAAACTTTGCAGGAGGAGCTGCCTTCTTTCACTCACAGAATAGCCTGAGGTATACTGCCGCTGGATATGGAGGCTCTGATGGCCTTGCATGTGGGATTCTAAGTGGCTCTTTCTTGCCCACCAGGTCAAAGCTGGATGTATGCTGAACGTCCTGGGCGTCCTGACCATCATGCTGGCCATCAACACCTGGGGCATCCCCTTGTTTGACCTGCACCAGTTCCCGTCCTGGGCAAGCAGCAATGCCACTCGCTGCTGACTGGCGAAAGAGGGTTACTCTGACTCTGAGCCTCTTCCCAGGCTCCCTGGTTTCTCGGGCATGGCATTGTCTCACCTCTGTGGCACAAAAGTAGCTCAGACTGACCCAGCCGTGGCACTGGTACGCTGCAAGCCCTTGTGGATGGCACCAGCCTCCCCGGCCCTGAAGGATCCCAGGCACGTCTTGTGAGAGCGAGAGAAAATGTGCTTCTCCTCCAAACCGCTCCTGTAAATGCAGCGCCCCATTGCCAGCAACACCGAAGACGGCCTGGCCCTGCTGATGCAAAGCTTATGGGGGACATTGGTGCACCAGCTCATGCACCAGCTATTGTAGCGCATTTCTGTGCCAGCCACAATCATTCTAATTGATTCTAATCCCCAACCACTGGATGCCATCTGTCTGCAGCTGCATGTCCAGAAACTATCCCTGGCACTTCCTGAGCAGCTGGGCTGCAGGTCCCAGGCCAGGGCAGGCCCTGGGGTCTCTCCTGGGCATAATGGAACCGTACCTTGGTGAAATAAAGTGGTTTTCAGCCAGTCCTGCCCCCTGCAGCCTGGTTCCTGGGCAGACGCCACTTTCACAGGAGTTTGGGGGTGTCGAAAGTGGACCCGTGGGACGCACGGGACCTCTTCCTTGCAGCCTCGCTCAGCAGGGGGAGTGGAAGCCCCAGCGATCGAGGTTGGGTCAAGCAAACGTGCCAGGGGGGGCGGCTCCAGCCCTGGCGGGGGAAATCTGGTCACTGTTCTGGAAGAGAGAGCTGGCTCTTGGCAGCCCCGAGCCCCTTTCCTGCTGCCCCTCTGGCTCCCCCAACTCCAGCTGAGAGCAAAGGGAGTCTTGCTGGCTTTGCTCTGGCCAGCGGAGGGCTGGGGGTCCAAATCTGCACCCTGGGCCCTGTCTGTCACCCCAGGGACACCCATCCCTGGGTCTTAACGCCTCTGCTGACCTTGCCGTCTTTCCCACTTTCCTGGTTAGGCTCAGTGAGCGGAAAGTCAGAACTGACACAGTCACACCCACGTACAATGAAAGGTGTAACACAGCCCCATTTTACTCTTTTGGCCCATTTAGTTGTAACAGATTGGGGTGGCCTATAAATGTGATAAATAAATTTGAACACCCACTTGGCCTTATAACATTCATTCCTGCAGCTCCAATTCTCGGCTCCGTTCGGCTTACTCCGCCATGGGGCTTTTTACATAAATATTCCTGCACGGGAATGTTTGCACTGAACCACACCCTCCCCCCCCCCCCCGGCTTGATCCTAATCACACTTCTAGGCTGGTTGAACAAGTCCTTATTTGGCACGGGGAGAGTGTGCAGTGCCCCACGGGGAAGCAGCAGGTGCCTCCTTCGGAGAACCCCGGGCACCTCAGGAAGTCCCGCTGCCCGTTAGAAGGTCAGCCGCGTCATCCAGAAGCTCCCATCTGAAGGAAGCCTTGAGCAAAAGGTTTTGTAAGTCCATGAAGGGGAGCAGGACCAGCCCCACCATTCAGGTTGCCATCAAGGCCTCCATCTCTCCCAGTTATTTGAGGGCTGTCAGATCAAGAAAATTAGAACCTGGGTGTCTCCATTGGAAGGAAGTCCTTCTATGATGGCATCAGGATCCTACCAGACCAGTCCCTGGGAGAGACCTTGGAGAAGGAGAGGGGGACCTTCTGCCAAAGGACCCCCTTCAACTCAGCACCTGGGAGACAGTGCTGTAGAGCTCACAGGCACCCCATAGGATTCCCCATGTAAAATGGCAGGATTGGGAGGGGCACTTGAGGCACTTGAGGCCCCTATTTTATCCCCCCTCAATCATCCTTTCTCAAGGCTAAGCAGTTCTAGCCCTGTCGGTCATAGTCCCCTGGTCATCTTGGTTGTCCTTCTGTGATCCACTTTCTCTGAGTCCTTCTTAAAGTGTGGTACCCAGAACCAGACACAGGAGTCACGTGGAGTCTGATTAAAGCAGAGTTATATGGAACAATTGCTTCCCATGGTTTGGAAACCAAACCTCTACTGATGCATCAAGAGAGTCAGGATTTTTCTGGAGAGTTGTCTTCTCCTAAACGTGGCCGCTTACGGCTCCATTTCCTTACATTTTCTTCAAGCACTGCTGACAGCTTGCATTTGCTACAAAGACATGCCACGTTGTTTTCAGGCAGGAATACAAACATATTGCAAACTGGAGACCGCAGTGACTGCAGAATGATCTCCGTTTATCTACTGCTCTGTGGCTAGTGTTGATACTATCAAAAAAAGGCTTTTATTCTTCTTTTTCCATTCTTAGGCTCTGAGATTTACCAAGTTAATGACACTGTAATTTTAGAGGGGAAAACATGTAGGGACCCCTCCTTTCCCTCCTTGAACTTTACCACTGACTAGTTTTCAGGGATCTCGATTGAGAACCAGGAGCCTTATATACCTTCTATAATCTCTACATAACCTCTGCTTACTCAGGAGAAAGCAGTCACTCAGATATCCGTAATGGCAGTCAGCATTCTCCAGACATTTCCCTGGTCGTCAGAAGCTATTTCAGATTACTTTCACTCTTCACAGCCTCTTAATCCACGTGGCCGCTTTCTTCTCTCCCTTCCTCCTGATGAGCTCCACTGTCGACCTATCGGTTCAGCCCAATGAACTTGCCTCCTGGACACCCGCTGATTTCACTAGAAGGAAACTAGGGAGACTTGGCTCAGTCATACAGCCTCTGCTGCACAGTCAGTTCCGCCAAGGGCTACTGCAAAAGTCTGGGTGGCTACCAGACAGCAGCAAAGGGTTAAACCTGCTCTGTCTATCTCTGCTGCCCCTGAGTGATCATCCGGATTCTTGCAGCCCAGATCTAGGCGTCCTAGTTCAGCCTTTGTGGGATCTCCGTGCGGGGCTCCTTGTAGAGCTCCTTCCAGTCAGCTGACGCAATCCAGGGCCAGATGCGCAGTCTGACTTTTCAGTGGGGTTTCAGACCAGGACAGCACTGAGACAGCCTTGGTTAAACTTCTTGATGGCTTTTGGAGGGCTCAAGATGGGGGTGGTGCAACCATCCTGGCCCTCTTAGATCTCTTAGTGGGGTACCATGGTAACCTCCCGGACTGGCTGCAGGGTATGGGGGGGGGGGCACAGTGTTGTGCTGGTTCTCCTCCTTCCTCTGTGGCCAGTCCCAGTCGGTATTGACGGGGGAGTGGTCGAGCCCCAGACTTCTGATTTTTGGGTGTTTCAGGGTTTGATGTTCCCACCTCTCCAATTTAACATGAGGCTGCTGGGTAAGGTCATCTGTAGGTTTGGGGTATGCTGACAATCCCCAGCTGTACATCTGGACCCCAGGCCAAGCAAGTGATGCTGTTGAGGTCATGTCCCATTGTCTGCAGGCTGTGGAAGATGGGAAGAGAGGAACCCTACCAAGTCCCAGTGGCTATGGGTATTTGGGCCACCCAAAAGGAGACTTTCCATCTTCAGTCCTGAATGGGATTGCACTTCCCTGTTTGGGGCTGGTGTGCAAATTGGGGTCTTCTTGGACTTTTAGCTCCTTCTTGAGGAGCAGGTGACAGCTGTGGCCAGGAAGGGCTTTGGGGGCTCAGCAGGTGCACCGGTTGTGCCCATTCCTGGATCAAGGGCCTCCTCACGGTCACTCGCGTTTTGGTCACTTCATGGTGGAGCTACCACACTGCACTCTGTGGGGCTGCGCTGGCTTCACAGAGCGCAGGCGCCACCACAGCCCACCCGTGACTAACTACAATTTTCAGATTTTAATTGACTACAAATACTTACAGTTATTTCTGTCTGGATTAGGAGGCTGCCATGGCCACCTCACGGTTGGGCTGCTGCAATGCACTCTGCGTGGGGCTGCCCTTGAAGAGCACTCAGAAGGTACAGCTGATCCAGAGCCGCTTTGCGTGAGATGGGCGGCTATATAAACGTGACAGACAGACAGACAAATGAATTTGAACAGCGAGGGGCAAGCCTTGCTATGCCCTGCGTGAGCTGCACTGGTTGCCAGTCAGCTTCTGGGCACGATTCAAGGGGCCGGTTGTCACCTAGAAAGGTCTCCGTGGCCTGCGGCCTAGCTAGCTGAAAGGCTGCCTGTCTCCCACAACGTCAGCCCGTCCTGGGCAAGGTTGGCCTGCTTCGGGTCCCTCAATTAAGCAATGTCTCCCAGCCAGACCCTTCTCTGCTGCGTTCCCCCCCCCTTGGAACAATACCCCCCCCCCAAATCTGCATGGCTCCCACTGTGCTGTCTGCAAGTGCTCTTTAGGAACCAGGTTGCTTCTCAGGGCCTGGCGGGGCGGTTTAGGTGGATCCCCCTTCCGGGAGGGCGTAGCAGAGGCACGCGGTGCTGTTAATCACAGGTGCAGATTTTCAGCACAGGAAGCTTTCCTCATCACCATCTGGCTCTCCAGACTCAGAGCTCTGAGTTATCCTAGCCCTTTTAAAACCTGCGCCTGCAAGTCAAGCTCACCCTTTTATTTGGTCAAATATCCCACCCGCACACATGTGCACGTGGGCACCAGAGAGGTGTCTGGAGGCTGCTGCCCAAGAACGCTTAGCTGACTGCAATTCCTGGATTTTGGGGGCATGGGGGAAGGAACGCACCTGTGTGCCTCACTGTCACACACCCAACTGTGAGACTGAAATGTATTTTTAAAGCTCTTCCTCTCAAGGAAATAGCTCTTCAGGAGGGGAGGCAGACCAAACTCAGTGGCGCTCACTGGGTGACTCCTAAAATGCCGCAGGGGCATTTTTCCCTTCCCCCTGGCAACGCCATGCCAGTCTCCCCTGCCCTTAACCACTGCAAGCCAGGAGCGCAAGCCAGGCCAGACGAGGCAACGGGGCTGCGGCTTAGCTCCTCTGCAAGCCGAGTGGCTTCGGGGAAGAGGGTCGGCCGGCCGGCCAGCCGGCGAGAAGGTGGCTCTTCCTTGGCAGGGGTTTCCCAAGGGGGAGGAGGGGGGCCCCTGTGGGAGAGCGGCCGGCATCTGCCTCCCGCCCAGGCGAAGGAGGGCAGAGGAGCTGCAGCGCCCCTCTCCCGCACAGCACCAACCCGCGCCCTTTGCCACGGGGCCGTCCTGACGAGACTCGCAGAGAATTCCAGAAGACTAACCTTGCGGCAACATTGCTGTGCGTCCCCCAGAGCACCCTTGACTTATGTCTTGTCTTCTTATGCTTACGACTCCCCTCGCTCTCTTTCCGCGCCTGCTGCAGAAAACACACGTCCATAAATCATTTCAGTTCCTGGGACCGGTTCCCCCCCTCCCCACCCAGCCCCAGTTCTCACACCTGGTGCTTCCCCTTCATTTATTTATTAGACTACCATTAATTTGTTAAATGGATTTATATGGCTGCCCATCTTGCAAACGTGGCTCCAGTGGCTAGCGACACGTTAAACCACGCAAACCGGTGTCAGCCAAGAATAAAAAGCCAGCAGTGGTCACCGGGGATGAACCCTGCAAGAGAACCACAGAGATCTCTGGACGGGGTTCCCAGCGCCAGGCTCTGGAGCACAGACGGTGCAAGGTGGCATTTTGGGACGGAGGGGGCCGGGCCACGCCCCTCCTGTCATCCCAGCGGG